TGGGTTAGGCGTGTACTAGTAATGTTTGGGTTAGGTGTGTACTAGTATGTTAGGGTTTGGCGTGTACTAGTAATGTTTGGGTTAGGCATGTTCTAGTAATGTTTTGGTTAGGCATGTTCTAGTAATGTTTGGGTTAGGCTATAGAAAATGAATGGAAGTTAATGCATAGTCCCCAAAAAGTATGTTTACATGTACGTGCTTGTGTGTGTTTGTGAGTGTATATTTGTGTTATTGTGTGTGTTTGTGTGTATGTGTCGAATGTTTGTCGCTCATTGATATCAAACAGAACACGCACACAAAAGCACACGGACTAATGTTTTACATGTAAATAATGTGCACCACTAATGCAACCAGTCTGCTGTTAAATCATCTTTATCTAAAGTGAGAGCTTTAATACTGGGAGCAGCTGAGCGTTCTATAGTCCAGGTGTACTTTCTATAGTCCAGGTGTACTTTCTATAGTCCAGGTGTACTTTCTATAGTCCAGGTGTACTTTCTATAGTCCAGGTGTACTTTCTATAGGAGGAAAGACAAAAAAACACATTAAAACAGAAATAATTACAGAGTAGAGTAAGTAAAGACGGCAGCAGAGAAAGGAAATGTGGTGAATTTGTCCTCCAGCAGTCTAAGCCTATAGTAGCAGAACTAAGCGATAGCTCAGGAAACCCAAGCCGACCCTAACTATAGGATTTGTCATAAAGGAAAGTCTTAATCCCAGTCTTCAAACTGGACAATGTGTCAGCCTCATGGACAGAAACTGGAATTTGGTTCCACAAGAGAGGAGCCTGATAACTGGAAGATCTTCCTCCCATTCTGTTTTTGGAAACTCTAGGAACCACAAGTAAACCTGCAGTCTGAGAGCAAAGTTCTCTGTTAGGAAAATATGGAACAAAAAGGTCTGTAATATAAGATGGAGCCAGGATGTTGTTGTTCAAACACCTGCTGCTGTCTGCAGCCTGTTGGACCTCAGAGGCTTGACCTTGGACAGGGGGTTGCTGGTTCTCTTCTTGTTTCTGCAGTCCGTTTCCCTTGCGCGTCACATTCTTGTTTGCTAATCATCACACCTAGTGTTTATCACACATCTATATGTCCATGTTTTCAGCTGTCCTCTGCTGGATCCTCTGCTCGTCTTTAGTGTGATTTAGTCCATTTTGCATGAACTTTGGTTTTATTTCTGCTAAAAGATTTAGCAGATTTCACCACCTGTCTGACACCTTGTCCTACCTTTGTGTCCTTTTCCTCCTCTTCGTTATGGAACGTGAAACTCAATGCATTTCTTTCTTTTTTCCTTCATTAGCAACAATGTTATAGCTTAGAGTTTCATCACTTTGTTCAGTTCTAAATTGATTTCAAATGTGCAGTTTATTTGGTAACCTGCTTTAGTGATAGAATTATGTCACAAAAAGTGCAACTGTGATGAAATTTAAACCTTTTTTGGGTCAGAGCTGCTTCATTCAAACTTAAGTGGATGATTTTATAGAAACTAATTTGGCTCGTTTCCAAATGGTGCAAATGTTGTATAAAGCTTTGCTTTATGATATTAGTGGCTACGGTCACTTTAACCAGCATTAACAACAAAAGTCTACCTTTTGATCAATCTTTTAATTCTAATTTGCAACTGACAAATAGCTTGAAAATAGAGGCCCACAAAAATCTACACAATCTGTTGGTCGAGGTAAATGTTCACGTTAAAAAGGTAGAAATCATCAAGTTATTCTTGTGCACAATTTATGTTAGTGTCGTTTACAAAACTCTTCATGTACGAGTAAATCTTATTTGCTTGTTGTAAATCGGTTTATACATTTTTTTCCTCACTCCAGAACAAATATTGACCTCTAAAGTAACCTTCAGATTTTCACAACACAATAAAAAAACAATAAAATGTAAGTTTAACTCTGCTGCACCTGAAAATTAACCGGGCTGTAGTTCCTTGTTACAAAGTCTGTTTTGTTGAATTTTAACAAGTATTTTTTTTTTTATATTTGTGTCTGACAATGAGCAAAGGGTAATTAGGTAGATTTGTTTTAATGCTTTAATGAATAGATATTTCCGTAATTGATCTGCAAACACCTGCGAGGAGAATGAGGTTTAACATAAAAATAGTATTTCATGTCTGTGTACACGCGTGTGCATGCACGTGTGCTGAGCCCTGGCACATTCACAACAAATGGTTTCGAGCTCTCACTGGCAGCATCTCACCTCCCCAACCAAATCCAATTATCGGGGACAATAGGAACCAGGAAGGAGCTCAGGTCCTGAATCCTGCTGGACCCCCAATCAGCTCAAGGGTCTACAAGGGCCACAAAGAACACCTGTACGTCCAAACACAAACACACACAGCAGGAAAACAACAACAAAACAACAACACAATAAATATGACATATCTCAGTAATTAAATAAACCATAAGTAAATAAACACAAGTACATGCAGATGCATACTGTTATAAATCTATTTTAAAAAACCAATAAACATGATTGAACACAAATATCTATTGAAGGCGTTCTTGTTCCCACTTTGAGAAATAAAAAGTTCAATAGCGTCATCTAGTGGCAGAGTAATAAAAACAGATTTTATGAATCAGAGTGTTTCAGGTTTCATCAGACACTAATTTTATTAATGTCATGTTTGGCTGGTGACGTGGAGCCAAAGTGTGGACAAAACCACAGACTACATGAGTAAAATTAACTGCTTTTATATTATTATATGGAATGCATGCGACAAAATGAGAATGGTGAAAAAAATAATTAAATACTCCCTGCGGCCAAAAAAAAGCATGTTTTGTAGGGTCACATGCGCCGCCCTGGCCTTGCTCCAGGCCCCACTATTTGAGAAGGACTAAAAATGAACAGTATTTAAATAGACCTTTTTCACGACAACCAGAAGTAGCGTCTCATGGTGCTGGGTCACTTCCTGTTATTGTGAGTCTTTGCAGCGGTGAATTCTTGAACCAATACACTTGAGAAAGGATAAAAGTTCTTCCATGAAGAATATATCCACAGCTATCAAGGTAAGAAAAGACGTCGCTTAGCGAGCTAACCGTTAGCTACAACGTATGAAGTACATAAACATCTTTATTTCATATTTAAGAATTACAAAACAAACAAACATGGGCCTCACATTCACACATAAAAATAGTTGAAAATGGCCCCAGCCTTTAGTTCAGCCAATCTTCTCTCAGGTAAGACACTGACTAATTATAGTGACTCAAGCAGGAGTGAGAGTCCACCAACACAGAACTGAGCAGAATGAGGACTGGGAGTGCACCAGTAAAACCACTAAATAAAATACGGTTAGCAAGATTGTTTCAATTATTGAGCTTATTCACATTAGTATTATTGACATTATTTCTGTGAAGATCAATACATTTTGTGAGTCAGTGCACGTAACTTGATCTCTCCATGACAAGTTTATAACGTACCATCTTACTGTGATATTTACCTGTGGGTGGATGTGGCACCAGGTGAAGTGTTTCACGTGGACTCCAGCAGCAGCTTCAGCCTGGCTAGCTTTCTGTGAGAGGACAAGCTGCTGTTTCTGAGCTCTCTAAAAACAGACTCTTAGCTGGAGCAGTGAAATTATTCCAGGTGAAGAGAGAAGCTCAACGTTTAAAGCAGCTGCTGGTGGATCCACAGATAAAATCCTCCTGAGTGAAATGCAGCTACAAACAAGTGCTCCCTGGCTTTATGCAGAAGCTGTGACCATCATCTCTTCTGATCGCTTGGATCCACCGCCTCCTTTGGTCTGGGTACGTCGTGAACAGCATGGTAGGACAGATACGGTTGTTTTCTTGCCCCACAAGAACAAGCAGGAACTGAACAAAAGCAACCGCGCCGAGACTGAGCCATTATCCTCACTGTCTAACGCTCCAGCCACAGGAAATTGTTTAACACCACATCCGCTTTAAAATACAGAAGCGTGAAAAAGGTCTATCAAAGGACCAAGAAAAAAAATCTCCCCTTTCTAAGTTGGGTACATTTTTCACACTTTAGTGATAATCATCTGCTGCACAGAAATCTGTTGGAATCAGTCTCCCCACCATCACAGACATCTACACCTCCAGATGCAGGAAGAGGGCCACCTGCATCATGAAGGACCCCACCCACCCAGCACACACACTTTTTGCCCCACTCCCCTCAGGAAGGAGGTTAAGGAGCATTAAGTGTAGAACCACTAGACTGAGGAACAGCTTCTACCCTGAGGCTGTTCGACTCATGAATCTCTAACTAGAAGAATCACTGTGAAAAACCACATCATGTTGCTGCTGATCTGTTTCATGTTGCTGCTGATCTATTTCATGTTGCTGCTGATCTGTTTCATGTTGCTGCTGATCTATTTCAATGTTGATGTGTTCATGCGTGCACATCTGCTCACAGACTCATGTTCATGTTTGTGCTGATGTTCAATGTTTTATGTTATGAGTGCTTAGTGTATATTTAGTTGATGTTTTTCTTAGTTCATATCTTAGATGTTATTACTGTTTTTCTTAGACATTTTATTGTTGGATGTAACTGGGACCCTGTGGACATAATTTCGCTCCACCACATGTACCACATGAGGTGCGAATGACAATAAAGAAACTCTGACTCTGACTCTGACTGATCTTGTCATCACACTGTCACTGAAGTGTGGTGTCCTCAAACCATAAAATAAGACCAAGAGGAAAACCTCCGATTCACATCGTTCAGCTGCTGCTGCAGGTCTCATCATCACAGGAACAACCAGCAGCTTGTCAACACATGGAGGAAATTCATGTTGAAGATGAAAATCATGTTCAGGTTCCTGCAACTAATCGCAGAGGTAAGAATTCCCAAACAGAAATGTGACTAATATTACTTAATAAAGTTTGGATGTTTTGAAATGCCCGGTTCAAACCAGATGTTTACATACATGAAGTCATTTATTTAGATCAGACTAAACCTTTTTCTGTTTGAGGTTGGTCAGGTTTTCATCAGAATCATCTCTATTTGCTAAACGCTGAATGATAAAACAAGATCTTTTTTAACTTTTCTTTCTTTAAAGTCCTGCCTTTACGTTTGTGGTCTTTGTGTTTCGCAGCACTGCCTTTAAAATGTCTGACTCGGGTCAAAAGTTTCTGGTTTCCTTCCACGAACTTCTCACGACAGTTTGCTGTCATGTTTCTCCCTCCGCCTGCGAGAAGGTTTGTCAGGTTTGAAGACACCGTGCTCCAGCAGGTCTTTTCAGCTCTGCCCACAAACCAACTGAGATCAGGGTTTTGTGGTGGCCGCTCCAAATCCTCAACTTGGCTGATCTTAAGCCACTTTATAACTAAACTGGCCACGCAGAGGGTTCTTGTTTATTTAGAGGACCCATTTGTGTTCAGTCTTTAACTTCCTGATTAATGTCATGAGATGTTGCTTCAGTATTTTCACGTAATGTGATTTTCTCAGTGTTGGATAAAAACATCCTCCAATTATTTCACACTCGAAAGGAGCCGCACGACAACGGGAGAGGATTTATAACTGGTATATTTACTTGGAAGGTCAGATTTTCACAACAGGTATGTAATTATACTTATTGGGCGGCTGTGGCTCAGTGGTTAGAGCAGTCGTCCTACAATGCAAGAGTTGGGGGTTCAAATCCACCATTAGTCACAGGCTGAAGTGTCCCTGGGCAAGACACTGAACCCCTCGTTGCCTCCGATGTGTCTCATCAGTGCATGAACGTGATAAAGGTCTGATTAGTCTCTTTAGAATGATTTGTTCAGTTAGTCTTTGTAGAGATCTAGTATAGAGCTGTATGAACGGGTAAATGAGGCACAGATTGTTGTAAAGAGCTTTGAGTGTCTTGATGAGACAGAACGGAGTTAAGTACAGTCCATTGATGAAGCTCACAGACTCAGGGGACCTTGAAGTACCAGCTGCCTCCCCCCAGCTCCTCATCACATGCCGTCCGTGGGCAGTTAATGTTCTCAGTTAAAAATATTCATAAAACCTTGACCAAAAATCCCCAAATCCTCATGATGCAATCTATTCACAGCGTGATGCTGCAACCCTCGTACTGCATAGATGTTGGTGTTCTCAGGCTTGCAGCACCCCCCCCCCCCCCCCCCAGCCCTTGTTCAGATAAGAAGTGTTTGTTATCATACTGTATGTTTTAAACCCTTCCCACACTCTTGAAATATTCTAAACAATGTTTCTAAACTCTCAACACTCTAAAAGAGACGGCATGTCATGATTTCAGCTCCCGGCCTCCTCTGCTTTCAGCCACCTGCAAGCGCTCTTGGCCACGCCCACTTCTACACTCTGCACTGAGAACAGCTGATCAGCTGCAGGAGGAAGCTTTTTCTGCTGCTCGGGCCGCACAAAGGTGCAGCAGGTGCTAAATGATTTAAAATAATTTGTTTTGAATAAAAATTCCATGCCGATCGTGCGGCTCATCCATCAATCAGCCAGTTGTGTCTATTCTTATTTTGAAAAACCGTGATAGAGCGAGACCGTGATAAATGAGCCGCAAAGTACCGAGGGACTACTGTAATCTTAGTGTATGCAATTTTCGGTTTTGAACCAGTTTGGCATGACTGTCGTCGAGGGCCGGCTCCAGAGGAGGGGGCATGCCAAAGACACCATCTTAGCACCAACATAACTGGTTTGTTCCACTTTGGAGTAAGCTGTTTGGGGAAGAATCAGTTTTGTGTTGTGTGTTGCCTTGACTGATGAAGCCTTCTGGATGGAAGGTGAAACGTTTCAGCAAGAGAAGAAACTGTCCAGATGACCTGACTGAAAATTGTTGGATATGCAAAGTTGTGTTTGAAAATTATCTTGTTATTCATTTCCTGGATTTTTGCAAACTGAAACGATATTATGAATCCTAATTGACCTAAAATGGAAAAGGTTTAGTCTGATTTAATGTCAGACAGTGAAATAATGTTTTTGTGTCTTTTTATGGAGTGTATGTAAACATCTGGGTAAAATGTGTTTTCTTTGTTAAGGATCAAAAAGCTCAAAGAAGAAGTTTTATTGTGGTATTTTTATCTCTTCTGGACTCCTGACTGTTTTCCTGCTGGCCAGACTCATCACCTTTGGTCTGCACTGTGAGTCTGACAAAATTTAATTCTCACTTTCATCAGCTTGTTGAGTGAAACCTGAAAAACTAAATATTACTCCGTAAGTAAAGGTTTGTTGATCAGAGGAAGGAAACCATTCATGACACTGAAACCACACTAACACTTCCTTTTTCACATCAGATTAAACAAGCGTTACATCGATGTCCCCCATCTCTGAAGGATTCATAGAGGATTTTTGTAGTTTTTTTTTAAACAAGTGTTTTTCTGGACTGAAACTAAACAGGAGATGCAAGTAAACCTTAATGTTTTGATGCAATATATTTAAGTGGGAAGGAGTTACACTGTGTAGGGCAGAGGGAGTTTTTTTATTTGCCTGTCTGAGGCCGCTCAGAGTGACAGATCCTGGTGGGGGGAGCAATTTTATCCACCACCAGGTTCAATGGTCACATCGAAGCTAACATCAACATCAACGTGGACCCTCATCAGTACGCATTCTGCTAGAATCGATCAACAGAAGATGTTGGAGTCAGCCTCCCCACCATCACAGACATCTACACCTCTAGATGCAGGAAGAGGGCCACCTGCATCATGAAGGACCACACTCACCCAGCACACACACTTTTTGCCCCACTCCCCTCAGGAAGGAGATTGAGGAACATTAAGTGAAGAACCACTAAACTGAGGAACAGCTTCTACCCTGAGGCTGTTAGACTCATGAATCTCTGACCAGGAGAATCACTGTAATGCCACTTGGTTGTTGATGTGTGCTGCTGACTATCCACGATGCTGATCTTGTGCTGCTGATTATTTCATGTTGCTGTGTTCATTAGTCCTCATCTGCTCATACGGACTCATGTTTGTGCTGCTGTGGTCTTGGGGCATTGTTTTTGTACCATTAGTGCTTAGTGTACTCTTGTGTATTCTCAGTTGTAGTGAATGTAGTAATTCTTAGTTCATGACTCAGATCTTACTATTTTTCTTTACAATTAAATAAAATGTTATCACTTTTTTTTTTCAGTTGTATTGTTACGTTAACAATACGACAAATGAATGCCACAAACTTCTCCTTTTCCACCATCATTGACTTTTCATCAACTTTACCTTTGTGACTGCGTGTGCCATGCTCTGCTGCTGGTGTAGGTGATCGCCTCTGGTTCCTCTGAATATCATTTACGCTTTGCACCTTTCTCTGGATAGTTTCTTCATTCCTCACTTCTTTTGTATCAGCTTTCCTCACCCTCTTCAGTGCTTCAGCGTATGAAACTCTTTATTTCAATCCTTTGTTCTTCTCTGGCTTCCCTCTGAACTACACACCCTCCATACGCTGCGCTGTGCTCTCCTCCACAGTTACAGCATTTTACCTTTGAGTCTTTCTCACACTTCCCGTACTCATGAGGACCTCCACATCTTGCACACCTTGCTTTCCCTTTACACTCCTTTGCTACGTGCCCCATGCCTTGACATATGAAGCACCTGAGAGGGTTTGGTATGCATTCTCTAACTCGATAATTTACATATCCCATGTTGTTTCTTTGATCATTCCATCTTTTTTACTTGTAATCCTTGTTGCTTCTGTCACTTTTCCTCCTCTGATTTATTGTTTTATTTCCTCAGATGTCATTTCTACTGGAACTCCTGAAATTACTCCTCTTAACCTGTTTAAAGAAACTGGAATGAATGCTTTAACCCTTGTTCCCAGCAGAGTGGCCATTTTCAAGATTTTGTCCTGCTGCTGTTTGTTGACTGTGTGAATAATAATTATTATCCTACTGCCCTTTAAAAATAAAATTAGCCTATAAAGCTAATATCTACCATCACTTTAGCTGGCAGAACTTCTTCGTTAAATGTCAACAAAACAGACTCACTGTCAACTTTCACTCTTCACGAACGGCTTGGAGTCGTCTGATCTCCACAGTTTCCTCCTTTTAGCTGCTGTTTGAGCTCAACTAGATTTTCTCTTTGTTCAACAACCACTTTCTTCTCAATAATTGCCTTTTTGCACAGTTTGCAGCTTTAAAGCCTCGTTCTTTTGCTCTACGTTTCTACACTTTATAAGAAGACACCCATCCCATAATACTTTAGCCATCTCTGTATCACCTATCGTACTTCTCAGTGCTGAGGTCAAAGGTACTGGACTAACACTCTTGATATCATTTCCTTCTTTGAACTTAAGTATGACTTTAAATTCTTCCCTCGTCCTCACCCTCGTTCTAACATGTGATGATTGTAAATCATCGTTTTCTAACGCTCTTTTATTTCCCATTACTTGAATATCCATCGTGTCTCTCCTTCCACTTTTTTCTTTACATTTACAGGTGTCCAGTTCATTTCTTCCTCGTCAGACGACCCACTACCACTGGTCGTTCTGGTTCATTCATAATTCAGATTATGCCTCACCGCCACTAGATAGTATTTTAAAGATTTTCCGCATGCAAGGTCCAATTTTTCGACTCCCTAAACCTTCCCTGCGGCACAAGCGACCTCTCCGCTCCGGCCTTCTCCAGCTCCTGCTGCTCCCACCTGTTCCTAATTGTCTTTTCCCCAGGTGTTTGTCATTATCTGTTCGTTAGTGTCTATAAATTCAGTGTCTTTACATTTTCTGGATGTCTGTGTATTGTTCCCCAAAGCCTATGTGTCATCCTGCTCCTGTCTCTGCCCTGTGAGTTTTGCTGCCATGTCAGCCATTTGTTTCAGTTTAATAAATTGTTCCTTTATTTTACCTGCAAGTTTTTCACCTCTGTCTACTCTCTGTGTTCAACTCCAATCCACCACCACATCGTGATAACATTGTCTACATTTCTCAGTACACATGATTTATTTTACTATTTTGCAACTTGTAAAACCAGTGCTCCTTTTAGTTTAGGAAGTTAAACAGATTACATTGTTCATTTCGCCTCGAGAAAAAAGGAGTTTAACTTTTCCAAAACAATCGTCACTTGTTTCAGATCAAGATAAATGTAGTTCAGCAGGAGAACTCTCCTCCATCACAGACAATCTGACTGAGCATCTCCAGAACACTGAAGACAAACTGTCCTCTGTGACTGAAGAGAGAGACCTGCTGAACGCCACCCTCACTGAAATGACTGAAGAGCTCCTCAAGATGAAGAGTTGGTACAAACAAAGTAAGTTCTCCGCTGGTTGGAAAATCCTTCTGACCCAAGTTTCACCTGATATACAGTCCTTTTTTACATTTCATCCTGCCCCCATTTTACAGGAATTTCATGTCTGTTTTACTCTTTGTTTTGTGTAGTTAGATAAAAAAAATCTATTTGTGACGATACGTAATTAAAATTGGAGCCTGTTCTTTCAGAAAAAACATGCCCTGCAGGATGGAAGATGTTCAGTTACTCCTGTTACTTCTTCTCTTCAACATCTGCCTCCTGGGATCAGGGCCGAGAGGACTGCAGGACCAGAGGAGCAGATCTGGTGGTGGTCAACGATGCAGATGAGCAGGTGCTGTGTTCTGTTAGGTGACATCACTGAGGAGTGTTTAGAAGTACCACTGACATGATCCTTGTTGCCCATTTAAATATGAAACTTTCTAACAACGACCGTCTGTAAACGACGAGTCAGACACAGACTTTTATAACTAACAACAAAATGTGTAAGAGTTTAACACTCGATCCAACGTGTGTCTTTGCAGGAATTTATCTCTATATTCAGCAACAAGATTTACTGGATCGGTCTGACTGACAAAGAAACAGAAGGATCCTGGGAGTGGGTAGATGGAACTCCTCTGGATGTGACGTAAGTTATTCATTTATGTTTGTTTGTTTCCATGGTAACAGCACATTTACAGAGAGTCAATGGGAAACATTGTTACGTTGATTATCTGTGGAGGGCAACAAGGAATGGGTTGACTCTGAAAGTTAATCAGTTGTTGATGTACATCCAGTGATTTCTAGAAGATTTGATGAAAGGTTCATGAAATATTTAGTTAAAATACAAACCACAACAGTCTGCCTAAACATTTGTCTAACGTCACTTGTTCTGTTTCCTGTCAGGTACTGGGCGAGTGGCCAACCTGATGATGGTGGAGGAAACCCAAAATGGGGGAAGGAGGACTGCGCACAAAACGGATACCATGAGAAAATGTGGAATGACCTTTCATGTGAAGCTTCTAGTTCATGGATCTGTGAAAAAGTGGCACAATATGCATAATTAAGTTTTGCTATTTTTATTATACAGCAACTTTGAATAAATGCAGCTTTACAAAACTGAAGTGTTGAGCTAGCACAGCAACGTGCGGAGACAATTCACGTTATCATTTTTCTTTTTAAACATCAACGACAAACAAGAACAAAAAACTAAATACTTTATTTAAACTTTCAGCTTCAGATGATTTGTTTCTAGCATGTCTGGCATAAAGGCAGGTGATGAAAACAAATCCAGAGTTTATATGCATTGTGTGAACATGGATTCAAATCGTCCACCAATTTATCCATTCGTGTTTTCTGCACTTTTCTTTCTGATCCATCATCAAGTTGGAGACAGAGCACCATCATCACAATAAACTTGCAACGTTGATGCTGGAGCACAGGATGCTCTCCACTGCACACCTGTAGAAGGAGGTGAGGACTGAGCTTCCAGACCAGCTCGTCTCAGCCGTCTGAGGAAGTAGAGTCTCTGATGAGCTTTCTTCATCAGGCTGGTGGTGTTGTTGCTCCAGCTGAGGTTGTTGTTCAGGTGTACACTCAAGTACTTGTAGCTGGAGACCACTTCCACCCCAGATCCTCCTATGTTGGGAGGGGGGGTGTAGGTGTGTTTATTCTGTTTGAAGTCCACAACCATCTCCTCCATCTTCTTCACACTGAAGTGAAGGTTATTCTCTTTGCACCAGCTCTCCAGGTGTTCCACCGCCTGCCTGTAGCTGGACTCATCATTGTTTGTGATGCATCCTACCATCGCTGTATCATCGGCAAACTTTACAATATGGCAGCCTGGATGGGTCGGTTCGCAGTCGTACATAAGCAGAGTGAACAGAAGGAGGCTCAACACACATCCCTGAGGAGTGCCAGTGCTGAGGGTTATGGTGGAGGAGGAGAAGTTGCGGATCCTCACTGACTGTGGTCTGTTGGTTAAGAAGTCTAGGACCCAGTTGCAAATGGAGGAGCTTAGTGTGAACAGTTTGTCCATCAGGGTTTGGGGGCTCATGGTGTTGAAGGCAGACGTGAAGTCCACAAAGAGCATACGGACGTAGGAGTCCTTCTGCTCCAGGTGGGTGAGAGCAGTGTGGAGACACAGACAAATGGGACAAACTGATGACCTCAGCCACACCTTGGTATAATCAGTCCACACACTAACCACTGGTTTATTTTGTTTGTGATTGAACATGAGTGGTGGCAATGTAATAGATTTGTTTTTGCTTTAATCTAGCAGTGATGTCGGAACTATGCAAATATTAGGACTGTGTGGTTTTAAAAAATGTATTCTGTTGTATTAATTATGTTTCTTCTTTTTTGAGTTGCCTGGTTTGAGGAGTTGGCTGTTTCCTGACAAGTACTGAGGACTTTGAAGCACAATGCCAGATCAGCAGGACCAACCATGTGCTTTTCATCAAGGGGGTGTTCTAGGTTTAGTTGGATCATTTGATCCTCAGTATTGATGTTTAGTTCTGTTTCCCTGTTAGGGAAGTTTTGGTCAAAGTTTATGGATGTTTTTAACTTCTATGTCTGAGCATGTTAACTCTGTCCACGAACTGTACGTTTGGGTTAGTAGAAATCTGAATGAGGAGCTGGGTGAGGCTGCTACGTTCAGCTGGCACGCCAAGGACGCCTGAATTGCTGATTTTAGTTTTAAAGTTTTTTTTTTTTTTTTTTAGTTTTAAAGACAATTTTTGTTTTTAAATTTCTCAAAAACAAGAAAACAGGTAAGATGAATTGTGGGAAAAATAATGTCCACCATTTACTTGACTGTAGTTATTGTATGTGACAGCAGCTTAAGGAGTAGAATATATTTTACAAAGTAAAAGTATCAAATGATATAGAATGTGACATTTTATTTATTGGGGACTGCCATGCAGGCACCTATTATTCTACACCTCGGAAGAGTGTCTACATTTCTATCTCCGTTAACGCGGCCCGAACCACAGCATCTACCCCCACAAAATTTATATCAAAACGACCGGCTCGGCCCCGTGATGTGTGCTATTACTTTTATTGGCATTTTGAGTTACCATGGCGACGTATTTTGCAAACAAAGACGCAATATTTCACCAACTCCAGGAACTAGTTGGTGACTGCCCACTTATTATTCTACACCTGAAAAGCACATCTTATTCGACTTTAATGTGGCCCGAACCACAACGTGGACCCTCACAAAAGTTATATCAAAACAACAGGACCGGCTTCGGGAAGTGTGCAATGACTTTGATTGGCATTCGCAGTTACCATGGCGACATATTTTGTCAACAAAGATGCCACATTTCCCATAGGAAATGAATAGGAGAAAACTCTTCACAGAAACTGAGTAACATATGGAGCCATTTTGGTTCAACATGCAAGGAAGGCACCTATTATTACCTCTTAGCACCTATTATTATTATTAATTTGTAATAATAATCAATATTAATTTTAAATTATTAATTTTAATAATTATCAGTTTTAATATTAATAATTATTGATATTAAAAAGTAATATTTAATATTAATGCTAATTATTGGTGTGAATATTATTAATATTGATGATTAATTATTATTTTAATGATAAACAACAAATTTAAAATATATTAATAATTAGTTATAATTAGTTTTGATTATTAATAATGATTAATCTTAATATTTAATATTTATTACAATTTCATAATAAATAGGCAGACCCCGTCAAAGTTTCTCCAGGAACTTTCTAGTTTAAATCACTCTTGTTTGACTCGTTTTTCACAGATCCACTGCATAGATGTTCTACAGGAAATGTCGTTCCATAACAGGTTTCCTCCTCTGAGGTGTGCACAGTCTTCTTCTCCGCACTGTGAGCAGTCACCACCGTTATCGGGCTGGTGCTCGGCCCAGAACCTGGGTGAGAAAAATGCAGTCAAGTTGGTATGAAACATTTGGCCTGGTATTTATTTATGGTAATGCAAAGAAGGACGGTCAAAGACACAGCTCGACATGAAATTAACATTTTATCTTTTGAAGTTGAAAAGTTGAGAAGTTTGAGCAAATTCTGTCTTCAACTCCTTCCTCGGGCATAAAACTTGTTTTGTGTGTTTAATGAGAAGTGCCTTACACAAAACTCAGGGGCGTTCCATCGACCCGCTTCCAGGACCCTTCGGCGTCTTTGTCATTCAGGCCAATCCAAGTTGCTTTTTCAGTGAAATTGGTGATAAATGTCTGCGAGTTTTAATAAGAAGAAAACGTTGGAATTAATGTTCAACAATGCCGTTCAATAGTTTTATCTAGTTTCATTATTTTGTTTAAAGCACGGACGCCCACCGACGCTGAGGGATTTGAACAGTGAACGACAGCCGTTTTAGAGATGAGTGTTTTTCTGGACTGGAGTGGTTAAAACAACAAATTAAAATACTGTAGAATTATTATCTGAAAGCTTTTGAGAAAAATCAGCTTTTTAATTAGACTGACTTCATTTCAACAAATAAATCCTGTAAAGTTACAGTTGCTGATTTTCATCTCCAGATATATATTTTAAAACAAAGCACTCAACATCCGTGGACAATTAAGAAACGTTAGAACCATCAAGGAAACACATACTGCAGGAGAGACAGTCGTAGCAAATGTTTTTCTTTGGGCTGCTCTCTTCTGCAGGGGTCGCCACAGTGAGCGATCACACGTGGACGATTCTGGCAGTTATTTTTACGTCCTTCCTGACACGTCCTGGGCTTGAACCTGCAGCCTCAGGATTACAAGACCACAACACTGACCACCAAGCTTCTGCAGCTGAACATAAAGAATTCACAATTTTCTTTAAGAAATAAAGTAATGTGATAATCTGTGGTGCCTAATCCTGCTCCTTGCGGGACACTATCCTGCAGATTACATGTTTCGAGTAGGACAAGGATTGGACACTCGTGCACTAAACCAACCCTCTCCGGCCCCCTCCAGCCTCAGGCTCAGGCTCCGGCCTGTCATGGCGGCCGTCTCCATGATCCTCCATCTGCCTGCACGGACCAAACCCTACGGAACAGTTGGGTTCCGTGGGAACATTGAATATTCTGTGTCTATCGGACTCGGTTCTGGAGGGCAGTCATCGTCCGTTGCAGCGGTCGTTACTATCATCATTCTGCTAACATGACCAGTATACTAACAGGACCACGCTGCTAACATGACCACGCTGCTAACAGGACCAGGCTGCTAACAGGACCATGCTGCTATCAGAACCACGCTGCTAACATGACCAGCATGCTAACAGGACCAGTATACTAACATGACCAGCATGCTAACAGGACCACACTGCTAACAGGACCACGCTGCTAAGATGACCAGCATGCTAACAGGACCACGCTGCTAACAGGACCAGGCTGCTAACAGGACCATGCTGCTAACATGACCAGCATGCTAACAGGACCACGCTGCTAACAGGACCAGGCTGCTAACAGGACCA